AAAGAGAGAGTGGAGGAAGTGTCTTAGAGGAGAGTGAAAGAGCGAGGAAGAAGGAAGGAGAGGAGAGTAAACAAGGAGAATGATGAGGCTGGAAGAGGAAGAAGGAGAGGGAGAGAGATGGAAGGAAGGCAAGAGAGGGAGAAGGGGGGGGGGAAGGAGAGAGGGAGGGAGAGGGAGAGAGGGGGGGAAGGAAATAAGAGAAAGTGAGCAAATGGCTATAATGATCATAGTCAGGGCCGGATTATGACCTTCTGGGGCCCCTAGGCTAATGAAATTATGAGGCCCCCTCAGAATATCTTTTCCTCGTGACATATTTTAGCGACATTTACATAGCTTGAAGTAAACTTATTGCAAATTCTTTAAATAAACTAGCATAGCTATCTTTTGTTAGTCGATAAAAATATTCTTTAAATACCACTATTTTACTAAATTTCAACACAACCGTAGTGAAAAAAAAACAGATTTTTTATAACCAAGCCCCTCAAGCTTGGGGCCCCCACGCTTGAGGGGCCCGGGGCTGCAGCCTATACTAGCCTATAGGATAATCCGGCCCTGATCATAGTAATAATATACTAGCAATAATGATGTAAATTATGACAATATCATAATCATGACAATTATGATATCATTACAATTACCATTGATGATGACGATAATGATGACAAATATGATAATGATGATAATAATGGTGATGATGACTATGGTAATATTGGTATATAACGGTGATAATAAAGATGATAATGAATCCAATAATAATGATAACCATAAAAGAATGATAATAACAGACAATAAAAATGATAATGGCACTAACAACATATTCATAAAGATAATGTTACTGATAGCAATAACAAAAAACATCGTTGAAATGCTTATCACTCCCATAAAAGACAAAAAGTTTTTATACATCTCTAAATCACAAGATACTGAAACGCTGGAAAGGTCAAGAAAGGTCAGTGTAGGTCAAGAGGGAAGTGAATGCTGCACCAAATTTTAATAAGGTTGTATTGATCTTAATACTGACGATAAAAAAACATGATAGTAGTCATAGCTATATACAACATCAAAATCGTTATTATTGTTGTTATTAATGGTAAAGGTGATTGTTCTTCTGTTAATGTACATTCTGTTCTGTTAATATATATATATATATATATATATATATATATATATATATATATATATATATATATATATATATATATATATATATATATATATATATATACATATATATATATATCACTCTCTCACTCTTTCTCTCTCTCTCTCTCAATCTCTCTCTCTCTCTCTCTCTCTCTCTCTCTCTCTCTCTCCCTCTCCCTCTCCCTCTCCTTCTCCTTCTCCTTCTCATTTTCATTCTCGTACTCTCTCTCACTTTCTCTCTCTCTCTCTCTCTCTCTCTCTCTCTCTCTCTTTCTCTCTCTCTCTCTCTCATTTTCACTCTCCCTCTCCCTCTCCCTCTCCCTCTCCCTTTCCTTCTCCTTCTCCTTCTCCTTCTCATTTTCATTCTCCTACTCCCTATCCTCTCTCTCTCTCTCTCTCTCTCATCTCGCTCTCTCTCTCTCTCTCTCTCTCTCTCTCTCTCTCTCTCTCTCTCTCTCTCTCTCTCTCTCTCTCTCTCTCTCTCTCTCTCTCTCTCTCTCTCTCTCTCTCGTAAAACCAAAATGTGGTTTGCGTAATAGAACGAGTTTTCTTCAGAAAACTTGACACCACGGCAATTTTCCCATTTTTCAGTATACCCCGCCTTTGCAGAGATGAAGTAACCCTTTCCTTTGCTTTAAAATCCTCTGGTGTTGTTTCTCAGCTCTAAACCTGTATTAGTCATTTAAATTTGGAATGGATCTCGATTTTAATCATTTTCCTAATTATTCCAGTTGGTATTCTATTCCAATTATCAGGTTATTCTTCTTTCCCTCTACGTTTTGTTATACATGAATTCTCTCTACGTTTTCTTTAACACGTTCTCGACAGGTTCCTCTAACAACTTATCTCCCAATTCCTCTCCTGCATTTTATTCGTCGCTTTAATCTCTTGCTATATTCTAATCTATACCTAAACGACCACATCTGTTTAACGTTATCTCAAAATTTCACTCTCACTCACAACAGTCAACGGTCACCTTTTATCTCTATCTTTCCCCAAAACAAGGTCACCTTATGATAAGAATTCTGTGATATCATCTATTTATCACTGACCTTCCATTAAAATGTTTTTTTATTTGGTTCTAAAAGGAGAGAAATCAAATTTGGGTAAAATATTACGTAACGAAGCGAATGAAAAAACTGATACATAATCGTTCAAATCAATTATTTTAATGTTTCTTTAAACAATATCAAAGTCACCAGTTGTCCGTAATGGCAACGAAGATCTTGAGATATTGAACGAGTTTGAAATCAAATGGAGTTCTTTACAAAGGGTATTACTGTTAAAGACCGGAGGGCGATCAGCTGCAGGTAGACAAGACAAACATATTAAACTGTATAACAAACGTCCGACGCACGCACGCACACACGCACGCACGCACTATAAGACACAGTCACTTCATTGTCTTCCCATTGTAACAGATACAACACTCTCTCTCTCTCTCTCTCTCTCTCTCTCTCTCTCTCTCTCTCTCTCTCTCTCTCTCTCTCTCTCTCTCTCTCTCTCTCTCTCTCTCTCTCTCTCTCTCTCTCACACACACACACACACACACACACACACACACACACTCTTTCTCTCTTGCTCTCTTCCTTTCTCTCTTCCTTTCTCTCTTCCTCTCTCTCTTCCTTCTCTATTCCTCTCTCTCTTCCTCTCTCTCTCTCTCTCTCTCTCTTCCTCTCTCTCTCTTCCTCTCTCTCTCTTCCTCTCTCTTCCTCTCTACCTCTTCCTCTCTGCCTCTTCCTTTCTACCTCTTCCTCTCTCTCTTCCTCTCTACCTCTTTCTCTCTCTCTCTCTGCCTATCTACCTCCTCTCTCTCTTCCTCTCTTTCTTCCTCTCTACCGCTTTCTCTCTCTCTCTTCCTCTCTACCGCTTTCGTTCTCTCTTCCTCTCTACCTCTTTCTCTCTCTCTTCCTCTCTCTATCTCCCTCTCTCCCTTTCCCTCTCTTCCATTCCCTTTATCCTTCCCCCCCCCCCTCTCTCTCTCTCTCTCTCTCTCTCTCTCTCTCTCTCTCTCTCTCACTCTCTCTCTCTCTCTCTCTCTCTCTCTCTCTCTCTCTCTCTCTCTCTCTTCCTTTTTCTCTCTTCCTCTCTCTCTCTTTCTCTCCCTTTCTTCCTTTCCTCTCTTCGTCTCCCTCTCTTCCTCTCTCTCTCTTTCTCTCCCTTTCTTCCTTTCCCTTTCTTCGTCTCCCTCTCTTCCTCTTCCTCTCCCTCTCTTTCTCTTCCTCTCCCTCTCTTCCCCTCCCTCTATTCCCCTCCCTCTCTTTCCTTCCCACTCTTCCCCTCCCTCTCTTCCTTTCTCCCTCTCCCTCTCCCTCTCTTCCTCTCTCTCTTCTTCTTTCCCTCTTTCTCTCCCTCCCTACCTACCTCCCTACCTACCTACCTACCTCTCTCTCTTCCTCTATTTCTCCTCCCTCCCTTTTGTTCTCTTCTTCTCCTTCCCTCCCTCCCTCTCTCTTCCTCTCACTCTCTGTCCCTCTCTCCCTCTCTATTCATATACACTGAAAATCATCAAAATGTACAGTAATGCAATTGTACTCAAACAACAAACATAACACAGTACACACACACACACACACACACACACACACACACACACACACACACACACACACACACACACACACACACACACACACACACACACACACACACACACACACACACACACACACACACATACGACATTCAAACAAAACAAACAAAAAATGACTTACCATATCCCAAAACGTCAGGAACTTGAAAGGTCCACCGAAGATGTTATTGACTTTTTTCATGAACTCTGGCGGCTTAAGGTCAAGTAGATAGAACTTGATGGAATAGCCGTAGTGAAGCGCCATTAGCAGATGGAACGCGATTACAATTAACTTCGCCATTGCTGTTTTTAAATTACGGTTGGTTAGTGTTGATGGAGAGTATTTAAACGATTCAGTGAATGTGTAAGGTTTGATATGATTTGAATCTACATAAAAAATGCAAGTAATAACACCGATTTTAGTTTCAGACTAAATCACGATAACCACGAAGGATTATTAACGAATAATATTAGTGTATAAAATGTTTCATTCGGTTATAAGACAAGTAGTATGTCGAGTTCGGTTTCTCCTCAACCTTCTTCAGGATTCGGATGCCGCCGAATGATCTGTTCACCGTGACTGAGCCTCAACTGAGAGAGAGAAAGAGAGAGTAAAAAGGAACGCAAAATAGGCGACTCATGGTGACGCAACGAAGGGACTGTGAGTAACCAATTTTTACTTTTTTATCCAATAATGATCGACCAAGGGTTGACGTCTGCCGCGTTCGGATGCGTGCGGCGGTGACTTCGACTTCATGATTAGTGTTGCAATGAATAGTCCTTGACGTATGAACCAAGAATAGAAATTTTGTTATATATATATATGGGTGATATTGCTACTGGGACTGAATAAAGTGTAACTGGCAACTTCCTTTTATCAGGGCTCCTCCCCGCATCAGAACCCCGTTATTGTGTTAATGAAATCCAATTTCATTGGGATTAGCCTATGACGTAATAATCTGACCACGTAAAAGTATTATTTACCTGCTTGCACTCGCGTCTGATTGCGCCTGTATTGCATGTCAACATAATGAGTTAACTAAAGACAAAATTGATCAACAAATACATAAGTTATAACTGATAATACCTTATAATATAATTTTTTGTATATGAATAACACCGAGAAAAAAGATATTTAATGAACATAGAGAGTAAAGAATATGTCACTGTGTTGAGTGGGATTAAACTTCAAGGTTGCAAGGTTAAGTTGCCACAAGAGTCGCGTATTAGTCAGTTAAATGCCAACTTATAGCATAGATAAACGTCAAAAAAACTTTTTTCCGAG